TTGAGTGAAAGAGGTCCAATGGGCTTTTTGTAATATCCATTACTTCTCTTTCCACCCTTCTCTCAAACATCCGTGCAGTTGTAGCCTATGAATAAATACACGCAGAGTATGCACAAACACACACACATGCAGGCATGCACATGTACAGATCGGACATTGGTTAATCTAACTCAGATGTATGCTCTAGATTGAAGGAATGAATAAGAATCTACTATATATTTGAGAGAGTTTGTCTATCTGCTTGTTCACCAACTCCTCCTAAATGGTAAGAGCTAGGACCACCAAATTTGGTATGTAGCTGCTTCTTCTTCTCATAACTAAAAACAAGGTCCGGGTTTGGTAGTGCCAGAAAAGTGGGATGTGCCTGGAATGGGATTGCTTCTCATAAACCATACAGAAAGGAGACAGACTCACCAGAGAGGTGAAAGGGGCTGGGTAGGAGCATGCAACCCATCCAGGACTGTCCTGGCCCCAAGTCTCCTTAATCCCAGGTGCTTTTTAGGGAGGGCAGGGAGGCTGAAACCCCTCTCCCCTTTCATACGGGGACATTGCTGGCTGTTCCCCTGCGTCAGGGAGCAAGGGGAAAGCGCACAGTTTGCTGCATTCCTCACGCTGGCTGGGGAGTGCAGATGGACATACACCCCTCACCCGGTTGTTCTTGCAGGAGCTGCAGTGACCATGGAGAGGCACTTCTCACCTGGCCCCAAGCTGCTGCAGTGAGAAGGGACTGGGGTAGACCTCTCTGCCCAGGACAGCCTGCTCACTGAACCTCTCATCCCCGGTCCCACCCCAGAGCAATGATTTAAATGAAGCATGGACATTTTCATTTTATTTGCCAAAAAACACAAGCTGAATTAAGGACCCGAACAAAAGTGAGTAAGTCTTCTAGTTAAATGTAAGTGCAGTTAAAGTTATAACAGAGTTTCCAGTCTTAGGCATGGCCTAACAGTGTTTCTCAACCTTACTTTATAAAGTACCCCTTAAAAAAATTATAAGTACCCCCAGCACCTACAGTTTTCAGTCACACACATTTTTTTCTACCATTGCAACACATTTGTTTAAACAAGTGAACTGTAACCAGGTGGGCAATGAAATTTTTGGGTGTAAAAAGTACAAAAATAATAAAGCGCCGTAAAACTTAAAACAAAAATTTAGTTTTCTCCAAATTTCAGTTGTGTTGACGTACTCCCCAGATTTCTCTCAAGTACCCCTAAGAGTATTTGTACCACTGGTTGAGAAACACTGGTCTAAGCAACAAGACCAGGAATCGGAATGTCTTGCGATCTGGCCCCAGTTCTGAAAATGAATAAACCTCTTAATTTCTTTATCTCAACATTCCTACTTTACAGTGGGGGAAGCTATCTATTTATCTGCTTTATCAGGGTGTTATGAGGATGAATTCATGAGTGTTTGTGTTGAAAACAGGGATCCTTAAAAGGAAGATACTGAAGGCATACAAATTATCATCAGAATACAAGAACATATGTTTAATTTTCAAACTGCAGCCTAGTGTTTAAGTACAAATGGCTGAGAAGCCTCAAAGCCTTGCTTCTTCAAATGGAAACAATCAAGTCCTTGTAGCTGTAAAACTAGGGGATTTTCTGTTAGCTATGGGCTGGAAAGATACCAGTCATGGAAAAATTACACTCTACAAGACTACACAGAGATGAAACTTAACACAATCCACAGTATAAAAAAGAAAAAGGCCTGTGTTGCTTTTGCCAACTCTCATGATTGTATTGTAAGCACACAGAGTCTGTTTTGTAGCGCCAGTTCTTAGAGTTCTGTCATTATGAGAATCTCAGATTTCATTTTTTTTAAAAAGTGTCTAGCCCTTACATTTGCAGACAGGCTTGAGAACATGAACGCTGAACAGAAAAAGTCTAGAGGGAAAATAAGTGAATCCCCCCCCCCTTTTTTTTTTAAAGTTCCCATGATTTTTAAGGAAGACTCATGATTTTTAATGTGTTCGGCAATACTACGAGCTCTTCTTCAGGCACATACCATAGGCTGTGTCCAGACTCAGGGGTTTTTTCGAAAAAAGTAGCCTTTTTTCGAAAAAACCTCACCTGCGTCTAGACTGCAGCCGCGTTCTTTCGAAATTAAATCGAAAGAACGCGGCTTTTCTTTCGATGGCGGTAAACCTCATTTCACGAGGAAGAACGCCTTCTTTCGAAAGTTCCTCTTTCGAAAGAAGGCGTTCTTCAATGTAAATAGGGCTTCTTCGAAAGAGAGCATCCAGACTCACTGGATGCTTTCTTTCGAAAAAGCAAGCCGCTTTTTCGAAAGTTCAACGTGCAGTCTAGACGCTCTCTTTCGAAAGAGGCTTGCAGTCTAGACATAGCCATATAGCCCCAATTAGGCAGCGAAAACTGGTCTTAAGCAAAGAAATACGTGTTTGCTTCAGTTTATGGATAAGCTGTAAACAGCGCCCTCAGACAGTAAGAGGGAGAAGACTGGAGACAAGAAAATCTGCATACTCAGCAAAAGAGGTGAGAAGAAACAGTGTGCACCCTCTTATTCCACCATCTACCACATCACCTTCTTTACTGTTTGAATGAACTTTAACAAGGAGAAAATGCATTTCAAAGAGTAGCTGAACTAGAAAACTGAGGGGCAGAAACACACCAAATTTAACCTTCAAGAAAATGCATTTCAAAGAGTAGCTGAACTAGAAAACTGAGGGGCAGAAACACACCAAATTCTCTCTCCTTATCCATTTATTTTTTCCCCCCACCTAAAATGACAAATGAGATTGGACTGTGGGAGAAGGTCTTAGCCTGGGAGTTGGGTCAGCAATGTTCATGGGAAAGCATGGTAAGGGACTTCACCTTGAACTAAGTCTAATTTGTTAAGTTTATTACTAGGAAGCATTTATCTTTATTTGTCTTGTAACTATTTCTGACTTTATGGCTTATATTTGTACTCAATGAAAACCTCTCTCTTCTTAAAATAAATCCAGTGTTCTGAATTGTTTTGATAGTTTCATTTCAGGTAGCAGACTAAGGATGTTAAAATGCAGTTAATTGACTAGTCGATAGGCACTTCCGTATTCCTCCTTTGAAATGTACAAGAGCCCCTGCATTTCAAAGGAGGAATGCGCAATTCCGTGTACAGCCCGGGGACAGCGGGAAGTTCCGCTGACTCCGGGCTGCATGCGGTATGCCTGCTTTGAAATGCACAAGAGTTCCCAGCAGGAGCTCTTGTGCATGTCAAAGCCTTGGAGCCTGAGGTCAGCAGGGGACTTACAGTCCCCCACTGACCTTGAGCTCCATGCTAGGCTGCATGCCTCTAGGAGCCCGGGGTGAGCTGGGGAGTCCCCAGCTGACCCCAGGTTCTACATGGCACTTCACCAGAACCCGGGGTCAGTTGGGGACTCCCCAGCTGATCTCGGGATCTGGGAAAATGTCACGGTGAGGCCCTTTGAATCGCGCAGAGGTGGGATTTTAAAGGGACAGCCCTCTGCACAGCTGATCCACAGCTGACTCCCCAGCCGACCACAGGCTCTAAGGCAGCCCTTTTGAAGCGCACAGAATAACCCCACCCCCTTTGGTGCCTCTATCTCATAGCGGCAGCAAGGGGGGGGGGGGGAATATCTACTAGTCAACTAGTCAAAAGACTATCTGATAAGCAAATGCTTATTGGATAGTCAACTAGTCTTTAACATCCTTATAGCAGACTGTTGTATGTTGATACCCATAGAGGGGCAACAGACCTAATATGTCTGGATTGTCCAGGAGTAGGAGTACAGAACACACATTTTGGGGGAAAGTTTGAGAATGGGAGTATGTTGAGATCACCCTGTAATAGTAACTAAGGCTGGTGGAAGCCAGAGCGTAGCTGGTGTTTGCTGTCAGGTGGGTAAGGTTAGAGTTGCTGGATCAGGGCTCTAGCTTAACAGACATTCTGGCATGCCTGCATGCTAGCAGGCTGTTTGTGAGCAGCCCAGGTGGAAGCTACAGCAGCAAAGCATTGTGAGCAATTCCAGGTTGTTGGGCAAGTGGTGACATGGCCCCTCATTCGTCTACAAATTAGAGATGTAAGAGTTTAACCAATTAACCAATAAACTGATACTTATCAGTTCCTGTTAACAGTTAAACTTTGCTAGGAAGTGCAGGGCCAGCAGCTGAGAGCACTCCAGCAACCTTTCCTCCCTACCCTTATATCCCCAGGTAACACTTGTAACCAACATAATTTTGGTCAGTTTCAAGGTTACTATTTTTGTATGTGTTTTACATGCCTACTACAAGTCCCACTGGCTTCAGCATGAGCTGCAAGATACTTTTCAGCATCCTGACCCTTAGACCATTTATTTAGGAGTCCAGTTATGAATTTAATTGCCTGGCTCTAGGTACCCACATTTGACATTTTGATTTAAGAGATCTTTATTGGAGGAAAAATCTGGTTTTTTTTGTGAATATACCAGCTAATATTTGCCAGTGATCACTGCAGTGCAAGCTATTTTAAGATATTAGGGGTCAGATACTTCAGGAGTTGGATGCTCACAAACAGGGCCAGATTTTCAAAAAGGATCAGCTTCCATTTAGGCACCAAAATAAGAAGTCATGGGAGCAGCTAGGTGCTGAATTCAGCCCTTGGTTAGGTGGCTGAAATCTTGGAAGTTGACCTCTTTTAGAAGTCTGGCCCCAAATGTGGGTTGTTCAGTCTTTGACAGCATGGCTCTATAAGGCAGCTTTTCCAGTACCAAGGGAAGCAATGGTGTAGAGCTCAATCTCACTCCTATTTCAGCCGTCAGGTTTAGCATCCCCCTCCATCTCTTGCTACATAGACTGGGCTAATAATCTGGAGGCTGAAGTCTTTTTGCTATTTTTACACTTATGCCACCACGAAATGGTGGACTTGGGATCTCACTCTAGCCCTGTCGTGTCCAACACACTAGCTACTAGCCATATGTGACTATTTGGCCAGATGAGTGTGGCTAGTTCGCTACAGAACTGGTTGGCCACCACGGCTCTAACCCCACGAAAAGGAATACATACCCTCAAATCTGGAGAAAAGTTGTCTGTGGAGGTGGAGACCGAATCCGATGACACAACTGAAGCAGATTTTGTATGTACTGAATGGTCCGAGTGAGAGGTGGAAGCACTGCAGAGAGACAAACACGTATGTCAGAACTGTGCATTGCTGAGTCTAACTAAAACTAAAAATCTCAATTTCACACTTATATGTAGGAGATGTTACTGAGCTGCTCCAGAATAAAAATATACAGGGTTCTGAATGCAAGACAGGCCCTCTCCTAGCCTGACCACAGATTTACCATGGAAACAGAGAAAATGAAATCAGAACTAAAAGTTTCTTCTATTGATTATAACAGGGGTGGGGGTCGCTGACCCACATAAAAATCAGTTGGGGGCCACACACAAGCAAAAAAACCCACCCGCAAATCCGTACTAACGTGGCCCCCGAATGAGAAGGAAAAAGACACCCCTCACATTCTCCTCGCACACTGGAGCCTAGTGGGGCCTAGACTGGTAGATTTTGCATACTCCAGCCCTGCAGGTGAGTGGCAGGAGAGCTGGAGTGCCAGCGTGGGCTCCCCAGTGCTGGTGGGGGGGAGCCCTGACTCTCAGAAGCTGGCTGCAGGCAAACTGAAGGCCACATCCAGCCACATGTCCTTAGGTTCCCCACCCCTGAACTATAACTTTTCCCTTTGGAGTTTCAATGTAACTCTCATGCATTACAACAGGCTCTTCTCCTAGATCCTCATACTTCCTTCGTGACATGTAGCACTATTGGACATACTATAATAAGATTGCATCATCCTGTTTTTCTATATTGCCCCTCCAATATGACTGTGAATAATTAAAACTGTTTTACTGTATATTCACACTGCAACTTTCTTCTAAGGTTGCCAGATGGTTTCAACAAAAATACCGAACACTCCCCCCCTCTCCCGCAAAAAAAAAAAAAAACACCGGGGAAAAAATTCTGTTTGAGGGGGGAAAAAAGGAGGGGGGGGGGGGAAAGACCAAAGTTGTTGAGAAAAAAAAACCCCCAAGAGTTAAGCAAAAAAATAAAATAAAACAGCATGGCCCCTTTAATGGTGAGCGGTTATAATAGGGATAAGATGAGGAGAGGTTGAGCACTAAGACCCAGGGAAAGCATTGCTTCCCCTTGCTCAGGACTTTAGGTTTTTTGCCAGCGGTCATCTTGTTTTCTTGGTCAAGCTACAAGGGAGCTTCCCTGCAGAGCCAGGTAAGCAGGGTACACAGGGAGGAGGGCCGGGGGCTGGGCCCAGTTGCTGAGTGTGTCATAGGGTTGCCAGGTGTCTGGTATTTTCACCTGCTGGCAGGGAAAAAAACAGAAAATACTAGACATTTTAGGTGTCCGGTATTTTCTGAATTTTTTTTTACCGGACAGGAGGCGAAAATACTGGACTGTCGGGGTCAATACTAGACACCTGGCAACCCTACTTTCTTCTAACTTTACCAGCGTACACCTAGCATTTCAACAGTAGCTCTCCTGACGTGCTGTGCAGCTGTAACAAAAGAGCCTATATCCAAGAGTGTTCACAAAAGTCCCAATTTGTCCTGTGCCTGGCATGTATCCATCCACACAGGGGTTTACAGAGCTTTCAATACACCAGCACTGTTTGAACACAAAGCCACCTCTTCTCACTCTTCCCTCTCTCCCCACCTAGACAGACTTTCCTCAACAGCACCAACATTCAAGTTATGGGAGTCATCCCATAAAAAGTGTCACTTATCTGCAGAAGTCCCCATAATGGATATCAACTCTAGTTCTCCTTTCTTCAGTTCCTCGCCTTTGAGACCAGACTTATATTGTAGGGGCCATATTCTCCACTGCCTTGCATGTTGTGTCCACCGATGCAAAGTGCAAGTAAAAGATTACCCAATCTGTCTGGTAGAGTTGTAAGCTCATTTTGCACAAGGATAAATTACTACCCAGGACAAAGCAGTAGACATTCAGTCAAGGTTGTAGGAGCATTTCACACTTAGTCCCAAGTGGTTTCTAATGCAGGGAAATGTTTACACATTCAAGGTGAAATTTTCAAAAATGCTCATGCATCATTGGCCTAATGCTGCTCTCACTGAACTCATCGGTAAAACTGACGTCAACATCAGTGATCACAGAGCTAGGCCAGCATGGAGCACGTTTGAAAAATGTGCCCTGCATGCACAGCAAACATTCACGACATACCTGGATAAGTCAGCACTGCAGAGTACATAGGTGGTGTATGTTTGGCTCTGTGTCTCTATTCTCCTTATCAATCATTAATACTGAAATGAAATGACACTAAGGAACAAAGAACTTAAACTCAGTTGGCTCATGACATTCTTCCTCCTATCAGTATCAGTCAGGGCTGAGTTGACATGGCTCCAGTTCCACCACTTAGCAAACTAATTAACCAGATGTCCCTTTATACACCACATTTATTACAGTCAGTGCTTTTAGCTAACCTAGTTATCAATCATTAATACTGAAATGAAATGACACTAAGGAACAAAGAACTTAAACTCAGTTGGCTCATGACATTCTTCCTCCTATCAGTATCAGTCAGGGCTGAGTTGACATGGCTCCAGTTCCACCACTTAGCAAACTAATTAACCAGATGTCCCTTTATACACCACATTTATTACAGTCAGTGCTTTTAGCTAACCTAGAGTTCT